GTCTCTCTCTCTCTCTCTCTCTCTCTCTCTCTCTCTCTCACTCAGTTGGATCTGTATGGAATCCTTGTAACTTCATATCCATTGATAAGTCCTTGGGACTGTTTGTATTCACATAACAGGCACACTATCATATGCTTAAAAAAGATTATACAACTAGAATTTAATCATTCACATTACATAATCTTTTTGGAGCCCTATCTCATGGTTGACTTTTATGATCCAAAGATAAGCAGTGTAACCAATTAAAAAATCTAAAAGTACACAAAGATTATGTCAACATAACTAAAATCTAACCAATTGTGTAATAGTTCCAAATATGCAAATAGCTGTCAACCAACTACACATGTGTAATCTTCTCTGTTTGACTTATAGTCATGTCTTATTTCAAAGAAACACAATATGACATATTTTTAAAGACTCAAACATGAATTAAAACAAAAACACAATATATCCAATTCAATGTTTGATCTCAAATGATAGCACAATGGCGAGAGGTGTATAAAAGCCCCAGATCTGAAGTCATCCCCAAAACAGTACCTCATTCCAAAGTTCATACCTTAGGCTTACTTGTGTCATGATAGTCCAAGCCTAATTTGAGAGAATATGTAGGGAAAAAGCCAAAGAGAGAATTTGGATTCAATCCATAGGTTTATCATGCAATTGACAGAACAAAGTAAAAATTTCCCATGGAGAAACATGGGGCATGTGTATACAGTGCCATCAAATCAAACAGAATTACTTTTTGGGGGTCCTGATTGATTCACTGCTTGATTCACTGCTTCTTACCTACAAAGCTGCAAGATGCCAATAGAGAAATTCCTGTGTCCAATATTGTTCAAATGCTTATATCAGGAAATGTGGCCAAACACTTTGGTGCTAGTTTAATTTGTGGTCTGGACATATTCCTAATAATTACAAGCATGTGCAAACATGATCTTCATGATCCAACACCTGGTCTTTTCAACCTCAAGCCACACTGCCTGTACTCCTCTCGTCTGATGTATGGCCTTTCAACAAAATAAAACAAATCATCACTGTGGACCTTTCATGAACCAGGAGATTTCATATATTCTGGAGTTATAATAGGGATAGAAACAAAAAGATTATTTCTCCATAGAGCTTCACTTTAATATAAGACCATTGTCACTAGATAGACAATCATGGAATATGTGTGGCAGGGGACAGTCTTTGGTACACCAATTTTTCCAGGGTGGAGTTGTCACTGGCAGGCAGCAGCCTCTTTTGCAACAAACTGTGTCCATGTGAATAACTCTAACCAATGAAATGGGAGCAGAAGTGACATGTGCAACATCCGTAACAGCATTTGTAACCCCTGGTGAGCCTTCTCTACATACTGTACTTCCTCAGCCAGATACAAGGACTAGGAAGTCTTAAAGTTCAAGATGTAAACATCTGGGTGTCCAAATCTCAGGTGAAGAAAAACCACTGATCAACTCAGAACATTAGCATTAAGCAATTAAGAGAACATGTAATAAACCTGAAATGTGTTTAACTGCAGGAATGTGGGGGCTAAGAAATATAGGATTCACAATTAATCTAACTAGTATAGTATATCAAAGAGCCGTAAATGCTATTGAGAAAAATAGTGTATACATGGGAATAAGGAACGCAAAAGTAGGGTAAGTTAAAAGGCATGATCAACAAAGACCTTTCTGATCAAGTGACATGAACAGAAACTGGATGGAAATGAATATGGAGGCCAAGTGAAGTTCCAGGAAAAAACTTACAGAAAGAAAGAATGAGATCAAAGGTTCTGAGAAAGGAACACATTCACCATATCTGAGGTACATCAAAGAACCCAGCCTGCCCATGTGGAGTGAACGATAGGGTGACAGATAGGAGATGAGGTCAGAGAACAAACAGCTGGTCCCCTTGTATAGGGAGGGCCTTGTATGTCATTGTAAGGTTTGTGTGTTATTCTGAATGAGATAGAATGTAGTTGGGAATTTTGAGCAGAGGAGCAACAAAATATTATTTACATTACAAGCAGATCGATCTGGTTGTTGAGTGAAAGCTATGATGTGCAGGGATGGAAATGCAAAAGTGGGAGCAGTTAGGAATCTATTGCATTAATCCAGGTGAAAGACATTGGTTACTTGGACCAGAGTGGGAGTGGGAGAAGAGACCAAAAAGAGGAAAAAAATCTAGACTTTAGGAATTTGTGGGTGAGCATAGGAAATCATAATGGTTACAGAGGAGTGGGTGATGAATTAGATGTGAATTGTGGGAACAGATGAGGAGCAGAGGTGAAGGTAACAACCAGCAGTTCTAATTTTGAGATGTCTCTTAAAGATCCAGATGGAAATACCAGGTAGGCAGAATTTTGAGCCTGGAGTTCAGTGGAGAAATCCAAGCCAGAGAAGAGAAAAAAAGAAAGGTAAAGGAAGGACATTATGATATCTTAGTCAGTGAGACTAAGCAAGATCATCTAAGAAATGAACATAAGTAGAAACCAGAAGGGTCCAGAGGTCAAGTCTCGAGGTTCTCCATTATTTGGAGGCTGGTGAGAAGAGGAATTTGGAGCCGAGAGGGAGTATGCTGTAAAAAGGAGAAACACTGGGAGAATTTGTGTTGAAGAATGATCTAAAGAACAAGTTTCAAGGAGGGATGACCATTTCTATCAAATTTTATTAATAGTTAAAATGAAGTCTGAATCTTCTATGACCTGCTATGAATTTAGTAACATGCAGGGCTTGTTTGATGATGATAAAAGAAATTTCAGGGATGTGATTAGGGAAGATAACTGACCAGAATGTACTTAAGTAATGGGAATAAGAGGAACTAGAATCAGTGAGAGAAAAGACTTCTTTAGTGAAGTTTCACTGTACAGGGGAGCAGAGGAAGGGGCAGCTTCTAAGGGCGTAGGGCCAAAAGAAGCTGACTTTATATAATGGGAGATACTACAATAATAGATTTCATGTGGATGTAAATGATTCAGAAGAGAAGAAAGTTACTGATGGGGGGGAAGAAGAATAGCTAGAACCATGCCCTCAAAGGAAGGCCAAGGAGCTGCTTTTGATAGGAGCAGGGACTGCTCATCCCAGCAATAGGAGAGAGGACAAGAACTGGGCTGAGAAGCACACTGTGCCGAGGTGCAGCATGGAAATACGCAGAGGTCACTGCTGTTGGCTTCTACTCTCTTATTGAAACAAGAGGTTAAGTTTCCACCTGAGAGGGAGGATACAGGTTGTTTGGAGAAGAGAGAAAAAGGTGTAAAATGGTCTGGGATAACACAAGAAGGAATAGACTTAGACATGCCGAAGGGTGGCCTGGCTGCACTGCGAGCCCTCTAGAGCATAATGGTCTTGCATAGCAGCAGAGGAGGTGGATACAAGTTTAGCTCCAGCCAACAGCAGCTTCTCAAGCATAGGGTGGAATAGGCAGAGCTGGAGCATACAAGAGCTAAGGATCATTGAATCTGGAAGACAAAGTTAGAGATGTTGGAGGAAATTGAAGGTATACATCAGAAAACACTATTAAAGATGGTTCGTGGTATTTAGTTTGAGCAATTGGGATCACGAAAGGAGTGAGGCACAGTGAAAGGTTTGATGAGTTCCTGACCCTCATGTAATCCAAGAGTCATCAAAGTCAAGATCTTGACTCTCTATGGAACTCATGGTGAAAAGTTCTTATTCATGTCATTTCTTACATTGTTAAAATGGTGTCAACATTTACTCAATACAGTTTTGTTTTATCCTTTGGGTTAAGACAAGAAGTGCATGAAAATGACTATCCTGCTATCTCAGACATGTTGGTCAAAATTAATGAAATTGCCCCCCAATAAAATGAGAAAACTACCAATGTTTAAAAAGAAAGAGAAAGAATGCTGAAAACAGTAGTCCAGAAGCACCTGGCCTGGGCTGGAAGCAGAGTGGACTGAGAATAAGGGTCCACATCATACTAGTTGTCCTTCCCCAAAGTTCTAGAACATTTCAGGTTTACTTTGAAATTTATTCTCTCTACACCTTTCCTTAGAATAATTTTGAATCACCTCTTCGGCACTTACTTCCATGGCCTAGATCAGATGCCACCCCATCATGCACCTTGCCTGAATCCTCCAAGTTGAATGTAATTGTTCTGTGTACTGGGCTCACCGAGTGTGTTCAATCACCTTTATTATAAAGCTCATCACATCCATTCACAAATAGGATCCCCACACTTTGTGATCTTAGAGACTATGAAACAATATTTTAGTGCAGTTCCACATTCCCAACCCATGGCTTATCACTGATGCATCCCCCTGTCTCCCAAGCTGCTGCCGTTCCAGTCCTACCCTGATCCATTTTCCAGACTCCAGTCAAGGTGATCACCGTAAAGGGAAAATTAGATCATGTTACGCTCCTGCTAATAGACTTTCCAATTGTTCTTAAGATAAAGAGCAGATTCTTTTCATGTGCTCTGTGACCCTGCTGGCTCAGCTTCCAGGTGCCTCACCGACCTGCTGCACTTATCACTGGTCTCCATCTGTTCTTTATGCCCAGCTACTTCAGCTTCTAGAGCCTCCAAAATGCCATGTTTCTCTCCAGAAGCAGAGCCACCCCAAGGACACGTCCTTCAATCTGGCACTATTTCTACCCTTGGATATCAGGTCATGTGTCATCTTCCCAGTATGTTTTTCTAACCCTTAGCTAGACAAGAGTGCCTTATTACATACTCACAAGGCACACTTTCCTCCTCTCCCGCCCTCAGTAGCATGTGTGATTATGTGGTCACATGTGTATTTGGACTCATGTTTGCTCTCATGCAAGTGTGAAATGCTCATGAGGACATAGCTATGCTCTTCTCTATATTCCCAGCACCCACCACAGTACCCAGCTCATAAAATACATCAAAAACATTTCCTTACTGAATGAATGTACTCAGTAAATAAATAAAGTGCTTCTGTAGTTCTTATTTAATATTCATCAATTTATTCTCCAAATACTTATATTTTCTGTGCTAAAAGAGAACACAGATACACATTCACACTCACACACACACAATTTTCAAACAGATATTTAAAAATATTTAACCAGAGAGCATAGATTATAGTTTTAACTCGCAAGCTAGAGCTAATAATTAAAATGAAAATGATGCATATGTAGCTAAACCAAGCACTATTCCTTCTTGAATCTGAGTTCCCAGGAAATTTTGCAGCTCTGTGTATCACAGAGCACACCATTAAGCTAGAATCAATGCTCACTGGAGTTCTTCCACATGAAATACAGCCAGTATCATAAAAAGCAAGTGCATTTTTGGGAGGGTGAATTCAATTAAGAGTCATTTCCTAAGTCCGTTCCATAGATGGAAAGTGGGCTTTTCAGTGCCTATTTTCCATATCCTAATGGAATTTTTCAGTGTATAAGCATGGGTAGGAAAAAAAATAGTCTCTTTAGAGAAGATACACATTTGTTTAACTTATCTTAAAAACTAGAAATATAAATAATAGGTGTCTTAGTTACTTTTCTCTTAATTCTGAGAGAGAATACCTGACGCCAAAAATTAGGTTAGGGAAGGTTTATTTCTTACAGTTCTTGGGGCTTTTGTCCATACTCAGCTGGCTGCAAGGCAAGATGGCATGGGCAGGAGGCAGCCATTCATGGCCACCCCAAACAGCAAAGCATGAACCAGGCAGGCAAGGGAGATATGGTTTCTTCCTGCCTTACACTGTATGCTGGCTCCACCCCTGGGCGGGTGTAGCACTCACACCACCAATCCCATTGCTAGACAATGAACCAATCATAAATGATAGGTTCAGCTTCATCCATGATTGTATAAGACTTGAGGGGCCATCTGATATAAACCATAATAATAACTGTGTATAAATTTATAAAACTTGAGATAATAATGGGTATATGTAATAATGTTTATGTCTATTTCTCTTCATTTAATTGGTTTTCAATTGAGAAGGCCAATGAGAATGTTCTTTTTACTGAAAAAAATCTCATGAGAACTGCTCTGAATAAACGTTTTGAATTTTATAATAGAAAATTTTAAGCAAAAATAAAAATAATACCATAAATGACTTTTACCTGCCATGTGGCTTTAATAATAGCCAATATTCTGCCAGTACTGTGTCCTCCAAGGAAACTTAAAAAGGGCAAAATACTGATAAAGTTCAAGGAGCTGTTCAGCAGAAGGACCCACACAGTCTCACCATTATCCACGCTCTCCTCCACCAGCATTTCCTTGGCCCACCCAGTAATTACAGCTTTATGTGAAACAGGGTGGTCTATGCTGTGTACTGTCACTGTTGCAAAGAACAGAGGGTTTCTCACTCCCCTGGTTGAAACATCCCCACAAAAGTCCTATTGCTCAGGACAAGATTCATATCAGAAGTATCTTGAGATGACTCTACTTGAATACATTCAAGATCAATTTTAGAAACTGACATATTATTCAGAGTTTGATAGAGACATGCTCATGATTCATTGTGTCTCTCTGCAGAGGCTGCTAAATGAATCCATGCTCCATGTAGTTCATTCTCAGCTGTTAAAATTTGCAATTACTCTTCTTTTTATGAGTCTCTGAACTGATGTTAGTAATGTTATTTGTTTTTATGTTCAAGGGGAAATCCAATGATTTTATACTTTGTCATGTATATAAAATTTCTCTGAATATCAGCTAATATCTGGATTTTTCAATAGCTTTTGGTTAAGTGTATGAAAAATTAACTTCACTAAAGATAGAAATGCATATTTGAAGTATTCAACATTAAAGTAACTTGAGGAAATAGATTTTCTGCTTTTTCCAAGGGAGGAGATAGGGTATTGGGCTTCATTTTGAACTAGGTCCAATAACCTTGATAAAATTAGTTACTCTGCTCTGACCTTAGACTTCTAAGCTACCAGTGGCTGAACTTTCCACCCTACATTCTGTTCCCGAGTGACCAAGCTGGCTGGCAGGCACCCAATCTATCAGCTGCTAAGAGACAAAGGTCTGACCCTGCACCGTCCTGACCCCTTAGCGCCTCATTTTTGATTCACTACATCTACAGAGATGACCTGCATGGTTCCTACTTAGACACACCCTGATTTGGACCTCCTGTGTCCCCTATTTTTAAGATCTTGGTGTTCTTATCCATTGGAAAGTGCTGATCCAATTTCTTAAGTTACTGTCCAAATCTTTTCTTGTTTAAATGCCTACCACTTCACGACTGAGTCTTGTTATCTCATAAAGGCTCCACAGAGTTTGTAGAATTAGAACATTTACCATAAACACTTTAGTTTTGGGAAACATTGGGCTGGTGATATTGTAGGTCCTGTAAGAGTCCTTCCAACCTCTGTTCATTTGTTCTTTCAATGCATGTTCAAGGGAGTTGAATCTGTTGATTCCCACACATACTTACAGTCCTGCAAAGAAAGGGAAAGAGAGACTTAGACTCAAGAAGGTGATGCCTTAATAGACATCAGCTCTTCTCCACCTGAATTTCCATTAGTGACTGGGCCACTGCTGCTAAACCTATGTGCACATGCTACAGCGGGTTATTTATATCTTTGAAAGCTCTAAAAGATTCACTGTCCCTGGACAAGGCCGTTAACAGTTCCCTTGATACCCAGCCCCACATACTTCCTGTTGTCTTCTGAGTGAATCTGGGGGAACATTGTTTAGTCGTGGAAAGTTAACCTCTCAAATTTTCATACATCCCTAGTATGTACAAAGCAAGAAAGTAGGAAGCTCAGAAACAACACTAACGTGATGCATGTTCCCTCCTGGCATCCCCCAAAGACACTGTAAAATTACACACTGACCTTTCAGTCTCTCTTCCCAGAAGTGAAGCATCTGCTGAGCCCTAGTGAACTTAGAAACTTTCTCTGTCTCCCTGACCTTAGCAAGCAAACACTCATTTTCCAGCACACACAGACCAGCGTGGGTGTGATCAGCTCTGCATCTGGAGCAGAGTACCCTGTGTGTTTTACAGAGAGGTGTCTTTCTGACAGTCACCCAGGTCCAAGGGGACTGTAGTGCCAAGGAAAATTCAGGACAGAGTCTAAGAAGCACCATTCTTTATCTCCTGTGCTGCCAGGTGCCCAGCCTTAACTACTGAAAGACTGAGGCTGTGCCTCAAACCCAAGACTCTCCTGGCTTCTGAGGGCCTAAAGACAGTTGCGAAGATGACCTGTCCTGATTTCTATGTGGACACATTTGACTGAAGCATCTAGAATTTGGGCCTCTACTCTTTTCTGGTCTGACTTTCTTCCAACTACGGCAGCAGTTGTTTGCCAAACTCCACACAGTCCCTGTTGAAGGAGGGACTTGAGTAACAAGGTTTCCAGGCATCCCGAGCTCCAACTGAAACTATCACTGTTACCTTCAAAGCTGAGCTTGCACATTTAAGAAAAGCATGGCCAAGGACATACAGATTTCCTGGATCATTTTAAATTACTAAGGGAAAGTCAACTGTTAAGGAAAACTACAAAATACCCACACTGACTATGAAATCTTTTCATCCCTTACTCTTTAGGTAATTTGCTCTGATTGCAACTATTTCAAAGGACAAGATTACACACCAGGGAAGCAAAAAGATATTTTAAAAGGGAAATTTGTTCCCTGCCGAGGCCCTATCAGAGCATAGTCCTATGTTTGGAAGCAAAGGCAAATTTTTTTTCAGCACTAATGAAACCTTGTTAACTGTGAACACTGGAGCTGAACTGATCTAGTGAGAGAGTTTGCTGGATCACGGGAATGGGGAGGATTAGGAGTTGTTGGCACATTCACAGATCATTGTCATTTTCATTTTTCTACTTAAAGCAAGAAAACTTAAATATTTACTAAACAACTATCAAAATTAGAGTATAGGAAACAAAGCAGAAGAACAAAATTGAAGCCCATTTACCTTTTTCAGATGGAGAAAGATATGATACACCTTTGTAAGAAGTCAACTAAAATATTTCACTTTTTAAATTTTGTTTCTTTTCTTTCTACTTTGCAAATTCTCTTTAACAAGCAGCAACTGCCTTGCCCTATTGAGATAACTTTTTAATGGCATCAGGTAGGTTAAAGGTGTGCTATTCTGTTTATGAGGGATAAATAACTGCAAGATGCAGCAGACATGTGACCTTCAGGACTCACCAGGAAGAGCAGCGACCCCTTTGCTGTGCGGGGGTCTATTAAGGCTCCACTAACAGCCAGTAGTGGCAGAGACAGCACAGGATGCTTCTACTTCAGGGAGAGGAATAAACACCATGATCAAGTTGGTTCTACCACCATATTCTTGCCTGGGAATTTAACTTCCACATAACTAAAAAAGTCTAAAGCAAACACAGAGCCAAGCATTCTTAGCAGATCTCAGTCACCAAGTCAGAAAAGGAGCTCACACACCACCACACGGTGTCAATGCCATTCAGTGACTCAGTGATTCAGGGAGATTTAAGCCAGCTTCAGAACTCATGCGTCAGATCCATTACCCATGTGAGAAAATATGAGGCACAGCAGAGCTGGAGCCAAGGATAGCGTTCCAAAACCATAGAGCCTAAAAGGAGAAGTGACCAAGAAAGGAAAGAATATTTCCCTGGAGAAGTTTATGCTTAGATATTAGGGTTGACCTCTCTGACAACCTCTCAGATTCTTTCTAGCTCCACAATTCACTGAGAACATGAATAAGATTGTTACCTGGGGAAGGTATAGGCCCAGAAAACGTAACAGTGTACACAAGTGCCCCATTGTTCATCTGTTTATTGCCTCATATGTTATGTGGATTTTAATTATCTAAATGATATTTGGTTAAATAAAAGTTGGCACTTGTGTACAAAAGGAATATGCTTATATAAAAGGCATACAGAATGTCAAATGTCTTAATTTTCTTTTCTAAATTATCAAAAAGTAACTGGAAAGGTTTCAGAAATCACCACATCCAAGATTCTTTGTTCTACAAATGAGGAATCCCAGGGTCTCTCAGAGGTCTGTTCCTTCCAAGAAGGGACAGGGCTGGAACAGATGGATCCCAGACCCTGACAGCACTCGCACTGCGGTCTGGGGCCTCTGGGGTAACAAGTCTCATCTCCAGATGAGGAAACAGCGTCATCTAGTGGCAATTTACTAGTTTTCCATTCAACTCCATATACTGCAGGGGGTGAAAAAACATTCCACTCACCTTCCCTGCCTCAATTTTCCAAGACAGTATTGCTTGATTCACGTTTTCAGCAAAATAACACTCAGCCATGACTTTAGGTTTTCTTCACCAATTGGTATGCCAAGCCAGTTTCATCTTTTCTTCTGTACAACTAGATTATTCTTAAATTCTACCAGGTAGATATAATACCTGTTCTATCACCAGGTCAGGACATGCCAGATGCCTTTGAAATAATTCTAGGTTGTTCAGGGCAGTTGTGTGGAGAAATTTCAGTCACGAATATCTATTATGCACCATTCATGCTCTCAGACACTTGGCAATTTTATTATGTTTAGAGACAGATATATTCCTCCATCCTCAGGGCCCTACTTTTGGAAGTAGAAAACAAATAACTGTCCCAAGAGACAAATAGTCTGCTATAAGCACAGGGGAAGAGGGCCAATTCATCCTGCTGAGAGTAGAGAACACTGCATAGAAGCAGCTTTTGGTTTTTAAAAGTGGGTGGGGCGTGCCATGCAGTAGGGAGGAGGAGAAACAGTAGCGGGAACAAAGGTTCAGAGTCCAGAGAGTTCACTGAGAAATGAAGGATCAAGAACTCTGAAAGGAGAAAGATGAAGTGGAAGGTGACTTTGACCTCTAATAGAAAGATATTTGGATGTCATCCTGGAGAGCTTGGCCTTTGTAAGCAATCAGATTTCATCACATTACTTTGTTCATTCCAGCCATTTTGAAGATAATTTTATGAATATTTTCTTCAGAAAAGATTCACTTCATTTAACAGCTAGCAAAGCAGAGTCCTTGAAGATGAATTATTTGTCAACATTGGGGCAAAAGTTAAACATGCTGGCTCCCACCCCATTTCTTTGTGGTAAAGAGTTGGAGAAGAGCATGAAATATTTTTTAGAAAAATAAAATAATTCTAAGTTAGAAATTTTCTAGGTTTTCTTCCAGCTTTGTTCTGGCATAAATTCTTTGAGACAACTTCAATATTCAAAATTGTCCTTTCTGATAATATCCCCATTCAACATGGGCTGCTTCATACATGAGAAAATAATTTAATAGACATTCTATTTTAAAGCTCTTCTATAAGAAATAGAAAATTTTCAGACTAAAGAGCTGATAAAAAGAAAACAGGACTAAAGTAAATCACCACAAGGTAAAGAAAAAATGAGTGTGAAAGACCATTTGAAACAAGATTTTTCTTGGTTTGTGTACATATTTCTAGAAAATTCTCACTCTATTGGCTTTGTGAAGACATCAGTCCCATTAGTACCACAGGAAACAATCAGAAGTAGATGACATTTAAAGACAATCATGGTGGAACCCACCAGTAATCCCAGCATTCCTGGAGATTGAGGCAGGAAGATAGTAGGTTGGAGACCAGGCTGGACAATTTAGCAGTTTATCAAGGTCTTGTCTCAACATTTGAGGGGAGGTGGCTCAGTGCAAAAAGCCCTGGGGTAAATTCCCAATACTGTAAAAACAAGTTCTTATTGACAAATAAAATAGACAATAGTGGCAGCCAATTATAATTAGAGGTTAACATTTTATAAGAACATTGTTTATGAACTTGGTCAGTGTTTTCCACACCTGCATTGCTTTATACAAGCATTTACTTCATAAAATTTTGACTCAAGAGACAATCCTGCCACTCCTGCTTTTGTTTCTTGTATTAGCTACATTCATTGAAGTGTAAGGTCCTGCAAAACTCTATTCCACTTCTCGGGACTTGGCAGTAGACAATCCAGCAATGTGCCTCAGCTAAAATTGTTCTCCAAATGATCTTACAAATTTCTCACAGAGCTAAAAGCTAGAATCATGATGCAATGTATTGCCTGATCCTACTATTGTGGAATGTTATGTCAAGGTTAGCATTCCATTCATTAAATGAATGTCCCATGGGATAGGAAACAAACTGGATTCTCATGCCTCTCAAGCTGCACTGCCAGACCACAAAGGCTTACCAGACTGTCAGGATTTAGGTCTAAAATAGCCCTCAGCCTCATGTGTTTGGAAGGTGATTGGGTGATGGGAGCCGTGTAGCGGTGTGCTGTCTGGAGGTAGAGTGGGTCAGACAAAGCATGACCTAGAAGAGTATTTATCCCTTCCCAACTCCTCTTTTTGTTCTCAGTGTTGTCTACCGTGAAGTGGCAGCTGTCCTTCAGCATTCTCCTCTGTCATGCCTTTAGAGCCAGAATATTATGAAGTGAAACCTCTACAAACTGTGAGCCAAAATATACCTCTTCTCTTTTAAATTTTGACTACTAGGTATTGTGTCTC